ATATGAATTTTAAATATGACTATGGTGAAAGAAAAAGTCCGTGTAATTTCAAAATAAGATCAGAAATCAAACAAAAATAATCTTACTAAATCAATTTATGTGCTAATGTAAATTAGTTTGTATTTTCAGTTAATTTGTTTCTATCAAATATAAATAAATGTACTAAAAATAAGTTCATTTTTAATGTTAACAATTTTATAAGTGTTTAAGTTAATTTAATAGAAAATGTATTTATCAAATGCATTAATTATTTAATTATGTTTTGAAGATTAAATATTTATTAGGAGTAAAAAAGAAAAAAGAAAAGAGAGGTGAGTATGAGATGATAAGAAGGTAAAAGATAGACCTATTATTCAATGTCAATTAATCAATAAAGAGTCACACATGACACAACTATTGTTGATTGGTCCTTTGCCATTATAATTCTTTTTTCTCTGCAAGTCCGTTAAATTTGATAAAGTTTGAACAAAATGAAACTAGAAAAGAAAGGACGTGGTTGAAGTAAAGTGAAATGCATGTGATAATTGATTGAACATGTGAGAATATATACCTATAATCCTATTCGCAATGAGATGCCTGTGAATAGTGGTATTTTAATTAACTCCCTCCCCCTAATTGAAACGATGGAGGGCTCACATGGTTACTAAGATCTGCTTGATATGCGTATCTTATTATTTATAATATAATATGTTATAGTCAAGAAAAAACAGATACACATCGATTATTAAATGGATAAAATATTATAAATTGATGCTCAAATAAATATATGCCTGTTTAGCTTAGTAGTGTGAAAATCAAAGTTTAACTATATATGGGGAAGAAATGTTTATAGTTTTTAATAGCGTGAAAGTCATTTAAGTTTAAATTTTGAAGCTTATTTATTTATTTATTTATTATTATTATTATTATTATTATTATTCTTGCAATGTAAGTATTATTACTATTTTAATTGAAAGGTGGCAACTAGAAATTCATACATTTCATATGAGAAATGGTGAAACAACAATAATTATAAAGGATATGGAAGTTATGTTCTGTATGATTGTTGATGGTATATACCGATTCTTCTAAAAAAATGTTAACATTCATAAATTTGATTTATAATTTAACAGGTTGAAAATTGTTTTGAAGGGTATATAAATTTTTTCACAACATTAATTTTATTATATAGAATATTCAAATGAAATAACATAATTCCAAAATTAAAATAATTGATAATAGTAATTAATAAGCTCCAAGTTTAAACTTAAATAATTTTCACATTATTAAAGATTAACTCCTAAATAAAACATAAAAACACACATAAAATATAAAAAATAAGGAATAGATAGAACTTGAAAATAAGATTGAAGAACCTTTGAATTTATAAATAAAATATTTTCGAATTATACATTAAGTATTTTGCCATAAGTCCCGATCTGAGAGTCCCGTTCGTCTTTGATACTTCAGTAGATCTTCTAAAAAAAAAGTGCTACCATTCACAATTTCATATTTTGCATTAAATGGACTCACGTGAAGAATATAATGGTAGAGGAGATCAAATTAGGGAATAGTGATTACTGATAAGGAATAGCATATTTATTGCATTGAAATAATGAGAGCAGAAAGGCAATAGATAGTTGAGCGAAGAAGAGAATGGATTATGTAGGTGGATTGCTACTTGGCTGCACTTTGTTCCTGTGCATTGGTTGGTTTGCAATAAGCAAAAAATGTAACAAGAAACTTCCACCAGGACCATATCCCCTGCCATTGATTGGAAATCTTCACAACATACTTGGTGGTCAACCTCATCAGTCCCTTGACAAACTTGCACAAAAGTATGGACCAATAATCAGCCTCAGATTGGGCCTAAAAACGACAGTGGTGATATCTTCATCAGCCGTTGCTAAACAAGTTTTACAAAAGCAAGATTTGGCCTTCTCTAGCAGAACCATTCCAGATGCAATCTATGCCCTAAATCACTACCAATTCTCCGTGGTATGGCTACCAGTCGCTAATCGATGGAGAAGCCTTAGGAAAATCTTGAATTCCTATATCTTCTCTGCCAGCAGCCTTGATGCCAATCAACATCTCAGGTCACTTGACTCAAATTTTAGTCTCCAAATCTGATAAAAAAAATTTTATATGGTTGAGTTATTCTATCGTGGGCCAATTAATTTGATTTTTGTCATCTCTGTTCTTAGGTCCGGAAAGATCCAAGATTTAATTGCTTATTGCGGTGGGTGTAGCCAAACTGGCGAGGCAGTGAATATAGAACAAGCTGCTTTCGAGACCTCTATGAATTTACTTTCCAATACCATATTTTCAAAGGATGTTGTGGATCCTTATGCAAATTCAGGTAAAGTATTCAAGGATGTGGTGTCCAGCATCACGGAAGATGCTGGTAAGCCTAATTTGTCTGATTATTTCCCCCTGTTTAAAACAATTGATCCTCAAGGAATAAGGCGAAGAGTAGGCAAACATTTTGGTAAGTTACTTCAACAATTTGAGGGATTGATAGATGAACGATTGGAAGCAAGGAGGAAATCAGCAACTATTGGTAGCACTGACGTTCTTGACGTTCTGTTAAATACCAGCAAAGAAGACGCCCAGGCAATCGACAGAAATCACATAGAACGGTTATGCCTGGTACTTGCAACTTCTTCCTTTCTCTTTGGCATAATGATACAAGTTTTACATTTTATCCTCTTAGATTTAGTTATATTGCAGGACCTTTTCGTTGCGGGAACGGATACAACTTCAAGTACATTAGAATGGGCAATGGTAGAGGTCATGAGAAAACCATACATAATGAATAAAGCTAAAGCTGAACTTGCTGAAGTTATTGGGCAAGGCAAGGCAATCGAAGAAGCGGATGTTGCCCGTCTCCCATATTTGCAGTGCATAGTGAAAGAAACCTTACGGATTCACCCACCAGTTCCCTTTTTGATCCGGAAGGTAGATCAAGACGTTGAGGCGTGTGGCTATTTTGTTCCGAAAGATTCTCAAGTGTTGGTCCACGTATGGTCAATAGGCCGTGATCCAGCTATATGGGAGGATCCTCTGACATTTAAGCCAGAGAGATTTTGGAGTTCGAAAATGGATGTCCGTGGCCAAGATTTTGAACTCATTCCATTTGGTGCTGGTAGAAGAATTTGCCCTGGATTACCTTTGGCAACCCGGACACTTTCTGTGATGTTGGGTTCACTGTTGAATTCATTTGATTGGAAAGCTGAAGGCGATATTGCAGCAGAAGATTTGGATGTTGAAGAAAAGTTTGGAATTACACTGGCGAGATTGCGTCCATTACGAGCTGTCCCTATTCCCCTATAAATGTCGACTACAAATTATCAATGCAATACTTCTCCAGCTTACTCTGGCATTTCCAATCTCAACTGTGTAATTCTTCCTTTTTTTTATCCTCTCTCTTTTTCTATAATCATTTAAACCACTGCAAATAAAGCTTGTCAACCTAGTGTTTTACCAATTTGACACAATAAGGTCCCAATTACGCTTATTTGAATAACTTACTTAAAATCTACTTATTCTACTCGATCCCATTCAGAGACAGCTAGTCTGATGATTTCACTTAAAGAAGAAAATAAATTGTATAAGAAACAGAGTGATAAACCTGATTTGTTGGTGTCCCACATCGCCTGAAGAAGATATATTTGTACCTATTTATTCTTACACTGTTCTATCACGGTGAGTTGCCCTTCCTTTCTGTGTTAAACTCAATTCCTATTGTATGGAGTAAAGTTTTTCCTATCAAAACAATTCTTTTGTAGAGTTTTTTTTTTTTTACATGTTTAAGATCACAAAATCTAAATTTAATATTTTTATTTTTAGACTATTAAATTTAACTTTTTTTTTACTTCTTTCTTAAAAAATACTAATCAAAATCTAAAACGTGGGAGTAATATTCAAATTTATGAATACCCAAATTAATTAATTTTCTATTAAATAAGAAGCTAAGTTCGTAAGCTGTATAGTCGGGTCAAAAACTAATAAGTACTCTCTTTGATTCATAACTTCATATTAGGTGAATCATCATAGGGTTTGATAATATTCTTAAATTTTGAATGATTTATTTATTTTAAATTGTAAAAATAATTTCAATATATAATTCACTTAATATAAACTAGATAAATTGCGAGGAAATGGGAAGGGATTATATAATAACAAACATGTTTTCTTTTGTAGGTAGTGGTAGGCAATGTCACTTTGTTACATAAAGTGATAAAAGCTGCATATGGAATCTCCCTTTGTTATTCAAATTGGTGTTGGATCACTTACTACTACTATTTGTTATTCAAAGGGAATTAGAATCTTCACAGATACTCATCAATATGTCTCGACACATGCACTCCACAATCACTACTTTTTAGTCAATCGAGAAGATATATATATATATATTCTTCCGCCCACTAACGCATTTATTCATTCATTCTCCCCAAATATTTTTAGCAGTTCTAAATTTTCATAGAGATAATAAACAATAAAATTCGCACTTCCTCGCTAATCGAAGAAAATTTAATTTTACAATTTGGTTTATTATTTGAGTATCAAAGTCGATTTAAAGAATCTCAAATTTCACTAAAAGATTTAGTAGTTATTTCAAACTTTTCATCACAAAACTTATAAACGTTCTTCCAAATGAAATTTGCCTACTTTCTATTTTTTTTCCATTTCAATTAATTCAAATTTCTTTCCTTTTAATACTAAATTATCTTTAAAAAAAAAATATTAACTCCCTCCCTCCTATATTAGATAGACACGTTCTATTTTACAAATTAAAAAATCCTAAATAAGTTGATCAACTTTATTAATTTACCTTTGTTCATATCAATGCACATAAAAATAAGTTAAAAAAGATATACATGGAATAGTTAGTATTGAGAATTGTTCAAACTTCCAAATATCGTATTAATTATAGGGATAAAATGTAAAAAATTAATTAATTTTATCTTAATTTAATAAGTGATATTAACTTTTTTAAAAGTACTATTATTTAGAATTCGTAAACTTAAAATGCACTTCAATTTTATTTGGTAGAAAATTGAAAGCTACAAAATGTAGGACAATACGGAAAAATAAATTTAGTACATTGATTTTTATAGATGAAACACACACAAAAAGCAAAGAGAAAAACAGAATAAAAACAAATAAAATCTAAGCCACACCCATGTCCAAGTATCCCCAGTATACCACAAACATCTCATGCACCCTTCACCCTAATAGTAAAATAGTAAATTACTTATTAATTAAAGATATGCCCCATTTGCTGTTGGCAGATCCAACCATGTTGAAAGGGTCGGGTTCCAGCAACCCAACTCTCCTCCAGTTACCGGAGCCGAATCCAAAATCATTGACGATGATGATGGTCCATGCATATTATCTGTATAACATCGATTTGTTGACGCTTTTAGCCTTTGATATAGCTCTTGAAATCCTCGACTATTCTGGACTTCACCAACGTTTTCTTCATAATTATTTTTCCATATACCGTTGTTGGAAGGAAATTGATTCACTCCAATTGATTTATGAAGATTTCCTTTAAGTAAGGAAAGAATAGGATTATGATTCTGATGAGGTGAGGAAAAGAGAAAAGGGTTATTATTATCATAATTTGAAGGTATTATTTCCTGCTCGAACCCTCCAAAAATGCCTGATTTTCCAATAAACTCAAACGGAAGTGAATTTTTGAATTTTGCAGCAGTTGATTTTGATGTAGCGATGGACTTGTTTTTTCTGCAACCACCACCTATAGGAACGTTGCGTAACGCGCCTCCTTTAGTCCAATAACGTCGACAAGTCTTGCAGAAATGACGAGGCTGAGTTAAATTGTAGTTGTTGTAGTAACAAAACTTGGTGTTTGGGGAATCACAACGCGGACATCTAAGATTTTCAGAGTTTGCATTTGCACTTGCAGGGGCAATATTGGAATTAGAAGTAGTACAAGAAATAGGAGAGGAGGAAGGAGTAATATTAGAAATATTATCATCTCCGATAAGTGTAGTGTTTCCTGCAAACAGCTCTTGAATCATTTTTTAAAAAAAAAAAAAGAAGAGAAAAGCAAATGAGATTGATCTTAGTTTTACTCTTTTGATGATAGAATGAAAATGTGAAAGAGAGTAATAAATAGTATCTTTTTGATGGTGTGAAAGAATGGAGAATAGAATGATATATATATATATATAGGAAGAGAAAAAGGCAAACTTGAAAACAACTTGTGTTTTTCTTTTTTTTTTAGATTTTGGAATGTAGCGTTAGTGCGTTTTGAAAGGAAACGAAAATGGACCTTTCTTGAATGATTGATCGTTGGAAAAAAAAAAATACTACTAACAGAAAATTATTATACTTTTGTTTCTTTTGGTTGTTAACGATGGAAAAAGTACTGCAATGTGATTCATATTAGAATACAGCATTAAGAACTAAAAAGAATATTCAAAATTATAAAGATTTTGTTTTAATAGAAAAATGAATTACTGATTTTCATATGGTTAGGAACTTAGGATGATGCAAAATGTAACATACAAGTTATAATTCGAGAGAAGTGTAGCCTTGTAATATTTTGTGGATTTAATTATCAAATAAATTATATGAAGATTATTTGTGACTCCAGTAATTCAATTTTTTTAATGATTGTGGTGTCCCGTTAGACATGATCTAATCATACGATATATCCATCACTTTCCATCATCAATCAAACATTAAGTAGTTCAAGAATAGAATAAACGAAAAGAAAGAATATAACCCCTCGTGAATTCTAAAGCTGACTATTGGATCACACTCTTATGCTCAATTCAATTTAATTTCTAGTAGAAAGGCAAAGTTTTATACAAAGAAGACAAACTATTGCTAGGATTATATTCGTTCGCAAAAAGAATGATTTAGTTTGACTTGGAATAGACTTTAAGAAAAATCTTAAAGAAATAAAACTTTTTAATCTTGTGATTCTAAATTAAAGTTATGTCAAATATTTTAAAATGTCCTTTATATCTTGTGACCTTAAACATGTTATATGAAAAATTAAGGTTAAAATATTTTCAAAAAAGAAAAAAAATCATTCTTTTTTTTTTTTAAATGGAGGGAGTATTTTGTTATTGCCTACTGTTGGGAGCAATTAAGAAAATTTTGAAAGTTGTTCAAGTATAGCTAATCTATCTTCATTATGGACAAGTAATTATTGTGAAATGAAAGTGGGAATTTAGGAAGAAGCCAAATATTTAGGATGATGATAGCAATCAAGTTTTCTAAAAGAACACAACCCTACCTAGGCCTTTGTGTCTATGCAATTATTCACAAACAATAATCATCATTACAAGTTCAAAACACTTATTTGCCTTGGAATACGTGTAAAGTAGATGCCCAGACAGCCAGCCAATAAAATTCCTCATTGCATGTCCCCCCGAAGATTTGAGCATTAATGTTGCCCTAATCCTCCATATAATCTTTGTTTTTCTTAATTTTAATATTCTGCAAATGATTAAAAATCAATTAATCTTAAATACTCCATTTGTTATAACAAATATTTACACGTGTTACTCATTGGTGCATCATGATATCAAATCATGTATGGAATTACGACCTCAATTCCACCATAAGCGTATCGATGTATATGTTTTGTACTAAGCTTTTAACATTTAATTATAATTAATAAACTAATATGATTTGATGTGAAGTGTGAATGTTCAAATGTTTCTTACTTTCTTTTACATAATAACGTGTCCAAGTAAAATGATGATTAGTACGATAAGTCGCTGTCAAAACTTATAGATATGTTTATTCTTGTATACTGTTACACTGGAATTTGTTAATCATTTCACTGTAATTAAGTCATGCAACTTGCTAAAAATTCATGCTAAGACGGAAACTTTGATCTTCAAAATTCTAGTTCACATCTGATGTGAAAATCAATTTGAAGATTCGAAATACCTTAATTGCAACAGTATCTCAACCATTTTTCAAAGTCCGTTTTCTTACCTGTAAGTATTTCGATTCAGGGATGGATTTATCCTTGTTATTTGGACTAAAACGTTAATACAATTTATATTTTTTAAAAACACACACACATATATATTTCTAACTGTACCACTCTCTCATCTTGAAATTGATACAACAAAATAGCATAAATTGAAATCCTTCCAGAATTTCAATCTCCATCTAGTCGATCTTTTAATTTAAATGTTATCTAAGATATTGGCAAGATGAAAAGTATTCACAACTAACAAAAATAAGTGTTCGTTCCGTCAAATTTAAGCCATGATTTTACCGTTATAATTTTCATTGCTTTCCTGTAATAATAATGATAATACGAACGTGTTTGGCCAATTTTAAAACAAGTAAAATTATATAATGATTGAGAGACAGGTTAAAAGTTTTGGTTGATAAATTTAGCGTTTCGGAAAGAAGGCTTTCATGCTTTTTAGAAAACGTCACAAAGGTAAATATGCGGCATTGGTTTTGGTAAAAAGATGAGTGTTGAAACAGTTTGTTTCAGTTTGCCTTTACTACACTAGGACTTATCACTCTTCGATATTTATCATGGTTGAGAGACCCAATCAACATGGATCGTATTTTTTAATCAGAAGCCTCTGATTCAAATTCAAATTAAGTAAGAAATACGTATCAACGTAGATATCAGACGTGAGGTCGTAAATTAAAAAAAAAAAAAAGAAGTCGATCTCGCAATAAGGGAGGATGTGTACTTGACGTAGTCTTGACCTGACCGCGCGTGCCGTCCGGAATGGCAGTGAATTCAGTATTTTGATTCGTCCTCTTCTTACCAACATCCATTATTCTTTGCTATTGAGGATACCAAGTCATTATATACTTATTCGAAAACGACCTTTTATCAATCGAGATGCTACATGCCCAACACCATCCACTTACACTTTATTTTTCATTTTCATTTTTTTTTAATCGATTTTCATTCGACTTAACTAATTAAGATTATATGTTTTCATTTTATAAGGCTTGAGTGTTAGTTGAGAGTGGAGGATTTAAACCATTCACTTGATTTTATTACTTTCTTATACCTTTTTGAACATATTTATAGAATCTCAACAAATTTGAGTAATTAATTAAGTGTTCATCTAGAAACTCGAGACAAGTACATAGGATTCTTATTAGTATGTATTATTCCCTTCGCTGAATAGTCCTTTACTCGACACACACAGAAAATTAAAGTAGCAAAAAATCAATTTGTTAATAATATGAACATTTTAATGCGATAAAGAATGGAAACTTCAAGTTTCAATTCCTAATAAGAACTTTGGTCTGGTTACACTCAATACTAGTTTTTACCCCCCAAACCCCCTTTTGTTTTATCTTTACATAAAGCTTTTAAAGTAGAGAAAATAATCTTTTGGGAAAAATCAGCAAAACATTTTCAAAAGAATTTTTTAAGCTTTACATCATACACATTGCTTTATTATCCATTAGATAGGAGAATTAAGCTGCGTAGTAGTAATAGAGGGAAAATATGTCGTTGAAAGTTTATAGGATGGTGAATATTTGGGTCCCCACAAATGCTTCACAATTATCCGACACTTCACTTTTCCGTGGGTCTCTTACCCCACTATCTCCATTCTTTCAAATCCATCAAACATGTCCCTCCTTAAACTATTCAATCCCCCAATAATTCACTCATTTTTGCCTCAACAATTATAATCTTAACATTTCTCACTGACGTTACATTGTCTATTTGTCTCTCTAACTACACAATAGCTTTTTTAACCACATATTTACTAGCTCTAACATGACAAGGTCTTTATTACGAGTAAAAATCAATCAAGATTTGTCATATGTACAGATTTAAGAGTTGAATTTTTTAGATCATACGAATTTAAGTGATTATATCGCATCCATTTGAATTAATACGGTGGATTTTTTATGCATATAAATTAAAGTTATTTGCGTAATAGACCCATAGGTTATCTGGCCGCAGATTTATTTGTTTTTTGATAAATGCGATTGTTCATTCAAGTGTCAAATTATGAGTGCATAAGAAAACACATGGTAGCAATATTTATTATTTTTATGATTATGAAGAAAGTTCTATGTTGTAATCTACTACACCTTTAAGGAAATTAAAGTGATGATGAGGATTATAATTGAGCTCGATTAATCATAAATTATCAGGTGGGCCCATTAATTAGACCCTTCATACTTCAGATATTATATAGATAATATTGAAGAAAGTATAAAGCAGACTAATGTTGTGTAGATTGGGGGGACCAGGCCAATTCCACTTAACCTATGATTGGAATCCCAATGCAAGGACAAGATCCTATCAGCAGGAATACAATAGAGAATGTTGAAAAAAATGACAAGAATTTCTTGCCGACATAGCCCTAGGAAGCAACAATATTGCCTACACTACATTTGGATTTAGTAGTAGTAATAATTATTATGTCTTTCAAATATAATATTGCCTAGACTATAAGAAATATAATTTTTTTCCTACCCTTTTCTATCCGGAGGTTAATAGTGTCTTAACATTCAACATGATTTAAACTCTCGATCTAACGAATTGATAGTAAGAGGTGATCAACTAATTGGCTAGCTCGAGTAAGTCTCACTTGTTGGAACATAAATTGTAATCCCAGCCCGTGTTACTCGTGACGTGGTTAGTAAATAATACTTGCATGCACTGTGTTATGCCTTTTAATTGTTGCACCATACGTAACAAAATGAAATGAAATTTTGTGGGTACAAACACAGTCTACAATGGCAAAACAGACGTCAATCATAGCTAAATAATATTTTTTTTTAAAAAGTTGGTCTTGTGCTCACTGAATAGATTCTTGATGAACAGAGGTTCACAGGTCTGTAGCATGATGAACATCAATCAATTGGTTGGACAAAACTTAGTGGTGGTAAGCTAGCACAGATCCCTTTCACAAAATAAAGTATTGGGTCCCATCACCAGATGCCTCCATTCATTGACTCTTCCAATATTGCTTTGACTACACACACAGGATCAGATCAATCGTCTAATTATATTCTACCACACTAGTTGTATAATTTCCATAAATTATTGCTATGGTTGAATAATATATGACTAAATTGACACCTTTATCATACTTTCCGATCGATCATCACAACTGAAATGAATTCAACTGAAAAAAGTGCATGCAATCATGTATTTTGATGTTATACATTTTTGGTTTGTTCAAGATTCTAATCCATCAAAAACTACTACGTAATCTAATATTACTATATTTAGGGGAGTTATGAATTTATCGTATGTAGTAAAAGTGAATTTACACCAATCACAACTCATACATTTCAGGTTTGAGCACGATCTATATTCCCTCTAGAAGATAGTTTTCTTTTATAACCTCTTTATGTCATATTATAATGGGAAATCTACTTCTTTCAATACTCATAACGGTGCATTTATTTGTTATAAATAATGTAGCATTACACTCCTTATGAGTGAACTCGTGACTCAATAATTATTTTCAAAGTTTGATATATTTTAATTGCTTGATTTTGAAGGCTTATGATACTGGGATTTCGTGAATTCGAACGAACTCAGTAGCTTTTAGTAATAAAATTGTCGTTTTAAAGGAAATTTAGAATCTCAAACTCTTTATTCGGGCTTCGCTTATACGTAAATGTTCTTTCCTGTGTCAAATTAACAGTTGTACATTACACATTAATTGGGCGTTTCTCTTTTTTTTTCTTTTTTTTTTCAGTTTCTTACTGTTCTAACATATTTGTATATTCTTATTACTCTTATGTACTTTATATTTTTCTAAGTGCGTACAAGTTACCAGAAGAAAAAATATGCATATCTCATATCAATCCTTAATCCTTTGACACCATATACTAAAGTCTAGACAATGACTACTCTACATTTTTTACTATGATACCTACTTACCGAGCTAAGCAAAATAAGTAATAATAAAGGGGGCTTGGCCATAATTTTTTATGAGGATGAGAGAAAGTAATGGTTTCGGATAAAAATGCATTATTTTGTGTTATTTTTCAAAATAAGTGAAATTAAATAGTTTAATAGATTTTATACTTGTTTGAATTTATATTGTAAACTCTTTTACTTAATTATTTATTAACTAGATTCTTAAAAATTTAATAAATTATAATATATTAAATCCATCCGACCATTAATCATTGACATGTTTATATGACATTAAGATAATTGAGTACATGCATGTGAAGACAAGTGAACTTCATATTTAAATTTTAAAAAATATTTTAAAATAAAATATCAAGTTTAAAAAAACTATAAATAATATATTGAATTCAAAAAAAAAAAACTAAAAGATAAAATAATAAATTAAAAAAGAAAAATAAAATTTAAAAAGTCTCTTCTTCCTTCAACTCAACCTAATTTCACCGCATCTCCATTAATGCTCCAACGCCTTTTTCTTTCTTCTCCACAGTTATTATCACCTTTAGCAGGACATTGGCATCTCCTTGTCGTCATATTTGAAGTTGTTATCGCTGAAGGGAGAAAGCGACGTTGATTTTATGGAAAGCGGTGAAATTACAGTGTGACGGCTTGTACAGGTCTCGTTGGCAAGGAAAGCGGTGGCGGCAATGACTTCGCCGGTGGATTTTAGGTGTTACCTGTGGAGTCCCAAATTTCGTTTAAGAAATTTAAAAATCATTATTTTCTATTTTAATTATTAAAACTTTGTTTGTTTAATAATTTTTAAAAATTAAATAATGAAGATAATTATGACATGTTATTGCATTATGTGACATGAATTTGACAAGTCATTTATTAAAAGTCGAGTGAATTACACACATAATAAGATGAGCTTTAAAATATTCATTTGATTGAATTAAAATTTAATTAATAAATAATTAAGTAAAAAAATTTAAAATATAAATTCATACAAATATAAGAGTTCATAAGACTAATTCGCCTTTTACATAAAAAAAAATAAATCAAAGTGATAATTAACAAGAAGGATTAAAAGAGAAGCAAATGGAGATCACCATCATTGATTTTGAAGTCTTTGAAGAGTGCATGCAGATAATATAGCAAGGCAATTTGCATGACAAGTGGGCTAAACGATGAGGCAAACAGGTGAAACAATTGAAGTGTGGCTTCTTATATGAGGAAATATATCATCTATTATTTTATAGGAAAAAATGTCAGAAAAATACTACAATTTTGATATACTAAATTTTATGGAAGACGCATTATTTAATAGTGTATCTTAAAGGTATATATATACCTACCGAATATATTACTATTTATAATTATATAAATTTATAATATTTAAGTTGACACACATATATATATCTTTAGAACATATAATTAAATAGAGTCCGAAGTTTAAAGGATGAAAAATATTAATAAAAATTCTAAAATGGAATATGATTTTTTTTAAAAATTAAAACGATAAAATCACTAGGGAAGAAGCGATTTTGTCAACCTGATTTAAGAAAAATTGCTGCTATAGCAGCGATTTGTTCAATTTGTTTTTTTTTTTAAAAAAATAATTAAATCAAGTCACTGCGATTTTCCTTATCAATTTATTATTATTATTTTTTAATAAATCGCTACAAAAAACAGCGATTTTACGTTAATTTTTTTAAATTTTTAGCGATTTATCAATTTACAGTTTTTTTTTTTTTTAAGTATATCAATGTCAGCGCAGTGATTTACCTTTTTTTTTAATTTTTAAATAAGTCATTATTAAATTATCATTCTTTTCTTTCAAATGTCCCTACCCATATTCTAATTTTATTTTAATTTTCAGTATTTTTTATTTAATAAAAAAAACTCAATCTAAATAATATGATCACAATATTTATTATTATTATATAACGAACAGAATAAGTTATTTTTTCTCCTCTAAAATAAAATTCTTTTTCTTAAATGAAGACTATGAGAAGCAGCCAAAAAAACAGATTCTTTTTCAACCCCCTCCTTTTAAATATTAAAAAGAAATTAAGAAAAATTTAATAAGTCGCTGTCAGTGCAGCGACTTATTTAAAAATCGCTGCTATAACAGTGATTTTCCTTAACTCCGGCGGATAAAATCGCTACCTTTCTAGCGATTTTACCATTCTGATTTAAAAAAATATTTATATACCATTTTGAAATTTTTATTAATTTATTCACCTTTAGGCTCTGGACTCTAATTAAATAGTGCAGAAATAAAAAAATCCTTTCTAAAATTTGATATCGTTACAATAATTTTGGTTAAATTTCAAATCTTTTCTCTATTTTATATAGATTAAAATATTAAATAAAATGCATGTATTAATGGTTGGCAAATTAAACTATTTTAAAATAAAATAATTCTTTCAAAGTAAGCTATCAATTTATATGAGGTACTCTCTCTTTTTAACTTAACTAACAAAACATATATTTTGAATATTTAACAACAGAACCATCATTTTAACTATATATTGGATTTCACTTATTTGGAAGAAAAAAACACCACCAGGTATATATATTCCATATTTTTAAATTTTGCGTCTCCATATTGTTAAAATTTATGTCTACTATCTATTAAAATTACATTTCATAAATTGAGGCTAAACATAAAGTGTATTATAATAGTATTATTGTTAGTATTATTAATCATGAATATAGCAATATGTTAAATTATATAAAACTGTATTATTTTGTATAAATAAATAATTTTGCTTTATAATCGTCGTATAATTGGGGAAAGCAGGGAATGTGGATGATCACTATTCACTACTCTCGAGAAGACGAAATTCGAAACCAACAAAAGGGGCGTTGGCACTACTATACCACCAAAGGGCTTGAGTTGAAAATTTTCAGTTAATCGATAAAAACCGCCAGTAGTGGATTATATAACAGAATGAAACTGACTTGGAGCTGCCAAACAAGAACCACATGCACTAGGGTTAATCAAATTCGGCATTGCGAAATCGTTCGTCTTCAAATTCTGGATCATCTCAAGAAATACTACGAGTGGAATCATGAACTGTGAAGTTTTCAAGCTGAAAGAACTTGTAAGCATCTCTCTGCTCCCCTATGAGATTGTTTATGTAGCGAGAATTTTAGCTTCAATGTTAATTTATGTTTCTATTGAAGGATGTGGAGCAATTTGAGATACAAGATGTTCTCCAATGTAAGTCAGCTATTTAAATTTGCTGTTTCATTTGTAATTTCTTGTTTTACATCTATTTATCCGTAATTTTAGCAATTTATGGTGTCTTCGAGTGAATGTTGAAGAAGTTCCATCTCTGTTATCTCCTCAGATTTATTTTTCATTATTTAGTTTTTCTGTATACTGATAAATTAAACTCTAGAGCATTTAATATATAGCTGCATTAATTCCCTTGAGATGTACCCGACAAAAATAAATTAACTTGAGATGGCCATTAAAAAGCTATAGATCTGAAGGTAATCGTAGACATGATTAGTTCTCATATTTTTGTTTCCTGGACTGCCCTAGTGGAAAGTATGAGTTCTTTAAAAGTATTCTTAAGGCTAAAATGGATACATGTTAATCATATACCACATGATGCTTTAGTTAAGATCTTTAACAGTACAAATTCTAGATTAAAGTGCACAAGAATTTTCCTTAATTGGATGTGTAACTTTAGGTTATGATGGAGATAGTTTATCATTCTATAAAGTAACGTTGTCGACCAAATTTGGGAATGTGGGGTGGGTGGATTCAGTTTCTGATTGGTTTGATAATATTCTTTCATATTGCTATCATAGGATACCTTGTGTAGCTTTATCCTAAAAAATAGAAAGGTCAAAATGGCTGCAGGCATTCTTCATTCAATCATGTTTCACAGAGCATTAGGTCTGATATATCCAAAGAATGTGGATTCGGAACTCTTTGAGATAACATATGTAAGTAATTTCTGAACTGTCAAAATACTACGTTGGTAATCTATTTATCTCTGTCTTTATTAGTATTAGGTTGGTATTTTGACTCCCCCTCCCTGCCCTCCCCATCTTCTTCCCCATTAGTAGTGTATGAATCAATTTTTTGTAGTAAAAAAGACTCTGGAACATGTTTTATTCCCAAAGAGTCTTTATTGATTCTGTATAATGTTGCTTTAAGATACTGATACTTGAGTCATGCAAAAAAAAATTTATAAAAGAAAAAATTCAATTGTGTTTTTAATAAAATGTGTACTTTTCTCTTCCCCTGAAATTTCCTAGTCCTTATAATCTTATTGTAGAATCAAATGTCTGGTTGTAAGTATCTCCATTACAATAAGTGAAATCTAGTGATGCTTAATTTGGACATAGGACTAACCCAGCATAGTTAGTTCACATAATGAAAGTGCGTGCTATCTATATACAAATTCAACATATATCTGGCATTTTTATTTCTGTCTTCTTTCCTAATTATAATTTTCTGAAAATTTTTGTGTGAAAGCTTCTGTCATTTTACCCCCTTAAAATTTTCATTTGAATGGAGTGCTAAAGCAATTATAAGATTTTGTGAACTGTGTGAGGACCATAATTAATTATGTAAGTAAGTTTCTAAAATAAGCAGAAGTTAAAAAGACTGGATGAGATTTAAGATGATACAAACTTAAATTGAAGTTAAACTGTCACCGGCTGTCAATTATGACTTATTAAAGAAAGACAAGAAGTTGGTGTATATCTAGAACTTGGGCGGCCCTTAAATTATGTCAATCTAAGGTGATCAATGTAATAAGTGATTTTTTTCTGATTTGAGTCTCCATTCCTTTCCCTTGGTGGAAGGAGGGTTTGGTTTTTCTGGCGAGCCTATTCCAAGATGTTTCCAATATTTCCTGATGGCAACTTTTAGTTTCTTCATGTTAAATTAAACAGATGCAGTGTAGTGATTTTGTAATTGAGAGGAAAGTTGATGAGAAGATTACCCAATTTATCGATAAGGTGAAGAAGCACCCCAACCAGAAACACCAGGTTCGTGATCCGAGCTTCTCTATTTGGCCAAGTGGAATACTTGCTAAATAGTCCTTGTTACTTTGTTCCTTTCACCCTTTCAACTAGTAATCTCTATTTTTCTTTACATGTGAACATTCCTCATGAGATATTTCTCATGATATCTTGTAGTCTTTTATTTTGTACTCTTTACTTCCAAAACAGGCTGTATATTACTTAGGAACTGATCACTGACCTTCTTACTCACAGACTATTTTACAACTTAATTGCTGTTGGATTTGGTAGTGGCTAACAAAACTTTCTATTGGAACATTAAAATGATGCAGATCTGTGTATCCTTCTATGAATCCAAAAACAAACAGACCTCATGGTTCACAAAGAACGTTGAACGTTGCTACTGGGAACACTGGTACATAAATTTGAGCGTGGCTCATAATCCGAAAGCAGATTCTGGCAAGTCTCACCACTCCAAAGTTGTTAACCTAGAAGGTACTAATTTGTCTTAATTTCTTTGCTTCTACTCGTACAAATTCTCCAGTTTTTGCATTTCTGAAGAGATGTATATCCCTTTTTGTCTATCCATTATCACAGAGGGTGCACCTAATGAGAGGGAGGTTCGGCACTCAGGACTGGAATCATCTCTTCGTGAAGTTCTTCTTCAGATAATCAACTTTGTGAACGAGAAAAAGGACCATATTCCCTCGATAGAAAATCTTGAGGGTACCTCATTTCCCTTTGAGATCACCATCTCAAGGTAATTTCCCCCCTTTGGCTAAGTTATCCACATGTTCTAAATTTTTTGTAGTTATTCGGGTAAGTAAAAATGGTTTTGCAAGTTTGACTGTGCAAGCTGTTATGCAGGCTATACATAAGCTGTCACTTATCAATTTCAAAAAATAAGCTGCACTTGTTCAGATCACTGCTGCCGCTTCTGTTTGTTACGTCTGTTTCTGTCTTATTAGCATCATTAGGAATTATGACTGACATGGATGTTACTAGCATGCATATTTTTTCCAGAAATGAGAACATATAATTTGCCTTTTGCTTCCTTGATATTTATGATATCTTCTCGTTATTCTATTCTAGGCATTGAGGAAGTTATTAGCTTATTTTGAATGTCCTTGATCTTTTCTCTGAAAATCTAGCAATCCCGTAATTATAATAGTTTTTCACAGGGACAAAAGGATTTAAATGTTCAATATCAGTTCCCCCTTTGCAAATATCAGTTTGTGTGCTGGTGACAAACTGGTGGAAAATCGAATTCAATTGAAGGAGATTTTTTAATGCAAATCTTTCTTTTTATAGAAATTTAAAGATTGTATTGATCTAGCTAAGTTATGTGTTGTTTTCTTTTAGTTTATCAGATTCTGCTTTTGGGATGGAACTGCTCAAGAGAATGCTCCCGCATGGCAATCGACCATGCTCGGCTGACTTTCAGTTTCTAAAGGGATCTGATTTTGTTTAACTTCATGATTGGGGTAAGGTACAATTGTTGTCATCTGATGTCTGAAAATGGTGAATGTTAGTTGTAAATGGGGGAGGCTTCTGGCAGATGACTAGCTCGGCTGAACGAAATGAAAATCATATGTTCATATCATACTTGTCAAAACTACAATTGTGCTCCTTTCTCGTGTTACTTCCCATTTCGCTATATGAATGTGCTCCCTAGATCTAACGTTCGGAATTGTATCAGTTCCGGCATTAAATAGGTCCTGAGATACACCCACAACTTTGAGCTGAAAATTACTCAAGAAATTAATCATGCAAACAACATACAGATGATGAAATTTATTATTTTCATAAGAAACATAGGTAGGGAGTTTTCCTTCTGTAGGTCTTGTTTTTAGTTGTATGTTCTTTTTACGAGAGATCTTCATTTTTACACGTAAGAGATATATCTGTAAAGGTTTTTTTTTTCTATTCAATTCGTAAGTGGATCATTCTCTCATATTTTCTTCACTACTAATATATTTAGTTGATACACATACTTCCCAATCAATAACAAAAAAATAGAAGGATAATAAATGATAGCTCACCAAACAAAATGATGCTATATGGCTGTGATTAATCTGTTGGGGGAGTATGTGCACTTGTTGTGATTAAGGCATCTAAAACATCAGTATTTTGATAGTTTTGGGATTTCCTTAGGTCCAGCCTCTCATTTTGAGGACGGGAAAGTAATCGACCAAGTTTGGTTTAGCCATGTCCATCATCATTCCCTCCATCAATTCCTTGCCCAAAACTCTTGAGAAGAAAGTGTTGGAAAATAAATTCAACATGATCCTGAATATTGCTGCACCGATATCTACCGCTTCCCCCATTTGGCTACTCCTTTCACATTAATCAAAAAGTTCTTCCATCTTCTTGTACCTTATAGAAAACATTTTCACTTTATGTTTAACTTATTTATTTAAGTTTCCAAGTGTCCTTAATTTTGATGAGTACGTAGGAATATAAATTGTGTAATAAGCTCATAGCTCTTGTAAGCTATGAGCTTTTTCAATAAATGAAATTTTTCAACATTATTTGGATAATATTTTTCAACAAATGAAATTTTTGTCGATTTTGTTCAACTAAAATTTACATTTATCATCTCTTGGCTTATTAAATTTGTTGATGGATTTCTAGAATATCAAAAGTCTTTCAAATTACCAATACAACTACATGCACCCGGTAAACTATCTTATTATTAAGAGATGCTTGCTTAGACTTTGGACTTTAGTCTTCTTCTCAATCTTGATTATAATTTTCTCTTTATATTATTTATTGCTCATTAACTTTTAATTTAATTATGATTTATATTAACATAAGACACACGTACCATGGACGTGTCGAAAATTAGTATTTACTAATGTTTTTAGCGTGACCTATCACATTCATAATTTGGCAGTCTAATAAATGGAGCTGGGGTTTGACATTTGATATGTGGAGTAGGATTCACCTCTTTTTCTACCCTATTTCTTTCTTAGGAAGTAACTCCAATTTTCAGAGGGTTTGACATTTGATATATGGAGTAGGATTCACCTCTTTTTCTACCCTATTTCTTTCTTACGTAGTAACTACAATTTTCAGAGGCGTATTTAAGATTTTGATTAGATGAGTGCATAGTTATAAAAATGTATTTTTAAAATATAAATTTAATTAATTTAACTTTTAAATTTTTACTATGAACCATAAACTTTTAAAAGTTATAAGTTCAAAAATATAGTACTACTAATTATAAATTTTCATATTTGATTTAATTATATAAAATATTTGTAGTGCTGATTTTTTTTAGGAATTTTCAAGTGTGTTTTGAAATTTTTTGAAAGATTAAAGGGAAAAAACAAAAGCAAAATTAGTTGAAATGTCTAAAACACCCAATCATCATTGTATTATTATATGATACTTTAAATATGGATTCATATATATTTATTTATTTTTTTTAAAAAAAAATATAATAATTCTATATATGATCTAGGGAGAGGAGCATGGCCTCTAGATACGCTCTGATTTCCTTCCCTATAAAATAACATAATTTGTGCTTATACTTTTATTGGAAATATAATTATTAGTTACGGTGTTTATTATCCATTGCTTTTTCTAGGAAGCATCTGATTTTGAATTTCAGAGTGGAAGTGGAACAGCTCTAAGAGGATGAAGTCTGGTTAAGGTGAGGCCAAATTTCTCCTGCATGTCCAAGTCATTTGGTGCAATGTCGCCCTCAATTTTCCACTTAAATGTATTCAACAGTGAGCCTAGCATTACTGGGACCATCCTTATTGCCAATGGCAGACCAGGACAAATTCTTCTACCAGCACCAAATGGAATTAACTCAAAATTTTGACCTCGCACATCCAATTTTGAATCCATAAATCTATCAGGATTAAACACCAAAGGGTCTTTCCAAAAAGTTGAGTCCCGGCCAATTGCCCACACATTAATCAACACTTTTGAATCTTTAGGGACAGTGTAGCCACACAGCTCAACATCTTGCTCTACTCCTCGAGGTACCAAAAAAGGAGCTGGAGGGTGCATCCTGTAAGTTTCTTTAATAATGCATTGCAAGTAAGGGAGTCGGGCAACGTCAGTTTCTTCCATCAGGTTACCTTCTCCGAGGACTTGTACGAGCTCAGCTTGGACTCTTTTCATAATATCTGGAGATCTAAGAAGCTCAGTCATAGCCCATTCCACTATGTTCGAACTTGTATCAGTTCCGGCATCAAATAGGTCCTGAGATTAAGATGCACCCACAAGTATGAGCTGAAAATTAATCATGCAAACCCATACGGATAATAATAAAACATAGAAAGAGTAGCTCACCAAACACAATGTTGCTATATGCATGTGATTAATTTCTTGGGGATTCTGTTCACTTGATGTGATTAAGGCATCTAAAACATCAGTGTTTTGATAACTTGGGGATTTCCTTATCTCCAGCCTCTCATTTATGAATCCATTAAATAGCTTTAGTAGTTTCCCCAAATGAGAATTATATCGACTTAGACCTTGCGGATGCACTATTTTCAGGACGGGAAAGTAGTCTACCAATTTTGGTTTACCCATCTCCTTCATCATTCCCTCCATCAATTCCTTAAATTCTTTACCAGAATTTTCATACGGATCTGCCAAGTCCTTTGAGAAGAGAGTGTTGGAAAGTAAGTTCAACATAGTCCTGAAAACTGCACCACCAATATCTACCGCCTCTCCAATCTGGCTACTCTTTTTACAGTAACCAACAAGTTCTTCCAACTTCTTGTACCTTATTAAAAAAACACGATTAATTAAATCACTAGTTTAACTAAATTATTTTTTGATATGCCGTATAATAATATCATTAGTTAAAATCAGAACCATCCAGGAGTTGGGACATGTGATTTGAAATCAAAATTTCTAAGAATATGTTATTAGTATTATCATTGAAAAAAGAAAAAAAAAATCAAATTGCAAGTCAAACAAAATTTCAATGTTATAACACGTGTCTAAAAGAGAACAAATAATTTCGAGATATTAGAGCAAACAGAAATTCTGAGTCTAAATCTCTCTATCGTGTTATAAAAAATATCTATATTCGTTGAAAAACATAATTAATCAAATAAATAGTTTAAAATTTTTAGATGACGAAGTCAGACAAACAATACTACGTACCTAAGGTGGTGACTGGCATCAAGCTTGTTAATAGAGAAGATGTGGGAAGTCATGAATTTGCGGAAAATTCTCCATTGAGGATGGGAAGCAGGAAGCCAACCAACGGAAAACATGTGAAAATTTTCCTCTTTGACTATATCAGGAATAGACCTGCTAGAAAAGGCTGAATCTTGCTTTTGGAGCACTTGTTTGGCCATATCTGAAGAAGAAATCACCACAGTTGTTATTTGCCCCAACTTCAGACGCATCACTGCGCCATGCGAATCGGCGAGTTTTGCAAGGGATTTATGAGGTTGATTCCCCAGTAAATGAAGATTTCCGATTATGGGTAATGGAAAGGGTCCTGGAGGAACCTTTCTGCTTCTATTTGTTGTTAATAAATTGAAGCATTGGAACAAAGTCCAGGCAAGCAAGAGAGCTAGAGGAGTGCAATAAAAACAATAATAATAGTAATAATCCATAGTAATTAACGTTATAAAAAAAATGTGTTTAACTATAGGATGAATTTATAGTGGTATGTATATTCTGTTGTAACAGTGGGCTCGGGTATTGTATGATATTTACCATTACAGTTTGATAATTTTGATTGTTGATTTTTTTAAAAAAAGCACTATGATATTATTATTATTATGTCAAGTTCATTTGGAAGGATTCAATGTTTTAAAGTTTGGTTTCGCTATTTTGAAGTATGAGAAATTGTTGCTGTTGGTTTATTTTACTTCAATTGACATATTTTTTTATAATGACAAATTATAAATTCAAATTTCCAGAAAACATCTGAATTATATTAATTATTATACTAGAATAATATTTTATAAATGTAGAATTATTTTCTTTAAAAAAAGTACAAAATAATTTCCTTCCTCAATCAATTACACACAAACATCTCAATCAATATTCAAATATCTAAATAATTAATTTACAAAAACATCGCAATCAATATTCAAACATCTATATAATTAATTTACAAAAATATCTCAATCAAAATTCAAACGTCTAAACAATTAATATTCTATTGATACTATTTTGCATATTTGCTGATATATGATTATAATGTAACTCTCTATTTCAATATAGCATTTTATATTTCACTATATTTTATAAACATCGAATATCATGTCGTATATAAAAAAGAGAGAGAAAAGATAAATATATTTCTAAACAATCGTAAATGATACGTAGATATCCTATATTATACTTTTGGGTCATTGGTGCCCCTGTCGTTCAAAAACTAAAGCATATATGCCCTTCACTCATCGGATCGGTGGATAAGATTGACTTTTTTTTATTAATGGATAAAATTATGACATGTGTATGTCCGTTAGCATAAATGATACATATGCTCTAGTTTTTGGACGGCAGGGGCACCAATGTCCCCAAAGTATGACAAATGATATTTTTGCATACTATTTATATAGTTAAGGGGTATATTTGTCATTTTTCCCTAAAAAAATTTATCAAATCAAAATAATAAAGGAAAAGGCATAGATTGCCCATAAATTTGTCTCGAAAAGTTATTTACACTCTTAAACTATCACCGTGACCTATTACACATTTTTACTATTCAAAAGTGAATTTATTATTGCCCCGAAATTTGTAACACCTCTCACATTGTGTGGTATATTACACTCGTTGTCATATCAGCACTATATCAGTATCATGTTATGAATTATAATTTTTTGTTTTGTTTTCTTTTTATTACTTATGTTTTCTTTTGTTAACTAATTAAATTATTTTATTTCTCTAATAATTATATATTCTTCATCACTAAATACTACCCATTTCAATTCTAATTTCATCAGAAAAATCTTATCCAGCCACTTCACTATTAATTTTGTTCTTCACCTACTATATCACCTTCAATTTTTCTCTTTATTGTGGACCAACATCAAATACACCACCACCATTATTAATGGTAACAATTTTTTCTTTTTGGCCTAAGTCATCGATAGTCCCTTAAAGTTGTCCGCATAATTCATTTAGACACCTCAACTGAGACTCTTACCTATTAGACACTTTAATATTAATAAATATTAATCTATTGAACATAAAATTACAACTATCTTTACAAATATTGTGCGTGTAATGCACACTCTTTATGTTGACAAAAAGTACGAATAGAACTACGATACGTGGCACATGGGCCCATTAATTTAATTTTAAAAAATAAAGAATATTTTCCTTCCTTTAATAATATATAAAAAAAATTAAATTAATTAAAAAAAAATCTTTCCCCTCACCCTCACCCCCACCTAACCCCATTCTATCTAACTTACTGCCCTTTTTTCTTCATCTTATTCTCTTCTTCTTCTCTCTTGTTCCATAATCACCATTCCTCTTCATAACAAAAAAAAAATGCCTAATCCCATCTCATTTCGAATTCATCCACCAAATGTTTTTCTCT